GCAAATATAAATACGCCATTGATACTGCGTGCAAACGGACTTGGAGTGTGTGCGGCGGCGATCGCGCGATGCTAATTTAATAAAGCAAATTGCTCGCAGAACGCAGGTCGGTGCGGTCGCAGGAAACGGAATCGCTGAATGTGGGCGGGGGCGGGGGGGATGCGATAGAAACCGTTATGAAACGTCGATATTAAAAGGGGACTAATTGGTTGGACGCGAATTCGAACGAGCACGTCGAATGGAAATGAAAAGGCGAAGCCTCATAAAAATGTAATTGCTAATGGTTAATCAACCATGGAAACCACCCATAATAACCGCACCTTTTCGACTACTTCCGAAAACACACGCTATACACATGAAAAAGATACCAGCGCAATAAAACGGCTCAAAATGTCATTAGAAACAAATTGTTTGCGAATTCCAGCGTTCGCAGTGAATTTGTAGTTGAACCACAATATTAATGTCGTTTTCACGCGGCGCTTGCGATACAACACGACGCCATCAACGCCAAAAACCTCCCCCCGGTTCCAACATATGACACTACACTGCAAGTGGAAGTGGATGTTATGCAAATGTTGCTAATGTCCACCTCACCATCCCACTCACGATGAAACAATTGGAATATTTGGCAGCATTACGCCTAACGGATAAATCACCGGCAACCTATTTGCGGTCAACACTTACAGCACTTACATAACCTCAATTCTAACTATGCTACACTCGATAAAACGCAACAAATTCAATTTGTAGTAAATATTTTATTTATTTGTATTGCTTGAACTCAATGTAGCGAATGCACCGAAATGATTACTGCGGGGGTGTTTTAGTTAACACGTTTCTGATGACTTTGTAATAATCCCCGTGCGCGCGGGTGTGGAAAATTTTGATTGGTTCAACTTTATACTCGCTTTTTGTAATCATAGGTAATACGAAAATCGAATAAAATCGCGTTTTGTGCAAGAAATAAATTTAACTTTAACTACACTTGACGATAGTTTTATATAGGGGTGCTGTGGGGTACAATTTCAAATAGTTAAAGTTTAAGTTTTGAACTTTTTGAATTTTTTTAAAAATTTTTGTATTTTTGAGCACTCTGTATATATTTTTTGTTAGTGTTTGTCTTTTGTCTTAAAATAAGAGTCGGATGGCGGTAATTTAATGTACTTATATGGTTATTACTTTCTTGATTTACGTTACCCTCATGGTCACTTCGACCCCTCGGCAACCACCTTCAATCTGCCCTCGTCGGCCGTTCGACCAGACGGCACATAACGCAAAACGTATTTTCTTGCTTTCCCCGACGTCCTTTTTCGTCCCGAAACTTTGGGCTTTCGACACTTCGACACACATGCACGACGACGCCGTGCGGGAGACACAGCGGGGGATGAAGCGTCTCGTGCCGTAAAAATAACATTTCGCCCCGCACACGCTCGTCGTTTTTACGCCCGACGTAACGAGAATACGGCGAAAATTTCCTATTTATTCTTTCCGCACTGCGAGAGTAAACGTTGTAGTAAAGTCTCACTTTTTAGTTAAAAAAATAATAATATGGATTCCTTCCTTTCACAGGGTAAAATTACCATTGAAATTCCTAATTTCTAATTTTAATTTGCGCGAGTGCGAAAATTTAATTCCAAATAACATAAATCAAATTTTCGGATTTTGGGGAGTGAGAGATTTTGCGTTTTCGCAGGTGAATGAATGCAAAATGCTTTTGACGTGTCATAAGTCATGTGCGCGCGGGGCGCGTTCATAGTGTTTAATCCTAGAATATAATAATGCGCAATCCGCGAGGCGGTGCCACCGCTTTCACCGCCTCCACAGCCGCCTCCGTCGGCCGTTGAAAGCCGCGAAAAGGCGAAAGAACGAACGGAATTTCCTTTTATGCATCGCAGGGCTTTGAGCTTTTCTCACCGGCGTAAAAACTTCTGGAGGGTCGCTGCGATTATGTTATTCTTTGATAAAAGTTAAAATTGTAACAGCAAAAAACCCAAAGTATTTAATTATGAGTGACGTGGATTTTAATATTTACATAGCGATGTGACATAATTAGAACTTCTAATAAATATTTAAATTTATTTTTAAATTATTGGGTTTTGGTTGAATGGAATAATGAGGCATTGAATGGTAGAAACGTAATGATGGTCGATTGTTGCTGGATGTTAATGCAGAGCTTGCAGATTTTTTTGTTTTGTCCAGCGGAGGTTTTTTGCGACATTAAGTGCACGGCAACCACATCGCTAAAAGCATAAACCGCACACATGCGATCGAATCACATTATGCACTACTCGGTACGCGAGTGCACTTCAGTAATTATATTTTGCTTAATTAGAATTACGAACGAGTGTGCGGCGGGTACTCAGCGCGCACGCAGATGACCGCGGCGTACCCTCAAAATACCATCAAATGAACCTGAAACCCGACGACTAAAAGACTCGATTCGAAATTCCCAAATTTGCAATTTACATTCACATTTGCTCCCTTTGCGGGCAGTTAGGAGCCGTGCTGGTTAAATGGCTGTAATCAAATCGTTTCGTTGGTTTTAATTTTTATTTTTTTTTCGGCGTTTGGCAACACTTTTTAATTCAATAGTGACTAGCCGAATGGTTTTCACCGGGTTTAGGTGGACACCCTCGGGAGTCCTTATAATCCTCGGAATGTCGCAGGTGCCCATTTCTCTTGATTTCGCTTGATTTTTCTTGCTTCCGAGTCAAGTTTCCATAGAGAATTGCGTTTCTCTCGCGTTCTTATCGATGGCATTAAATCGGGCAAAGTGTTGGCCGACGCGATTCAATAAATACACGTTATAGACGTCCTCCTATTCCACCGGTGGTTTTAACAAATATAGTTTTCGGCTCGGTGGCGGGTCTATCGGGGCGAATTGATGAGCGTAAATCACCGGTTAGTGCGGCGTCCCGACCGCCTCCCCGAAACGTCATTACATTACAAATGACGGCCATCCGTCTGCGTTCGTCTTTGCAGGACCTTCACGAGGCGCAACAAATTGTGCCAGGCCTACCAACTTTGGTAAACCGATGGGGTGAAGTATTTTTCTTTAATTTAACTATGAATTTTATTTTATTCACCAAATTTTACTAAACAAAAATCTTTTGGAAAAAACTACGAAATGTCCTTTGTCCTTTCACCCCATTCACCCCAACGGGTCGCATCCTGCAGAAGTACATTGTCTCGAGTAAATAGAGAAAACCAAATCCGCCGTCGTGTAGTTTATCTTGACGGAACGTTAGAGAGCCGCACCTTTCGTCCTTTCCGCAGCACTGCGTAGACACAGAACACACAACCGGCTGAGAGGCGAAGTTATCGCCGAACTAAGACTCGGGCCAGGTGAGCGCTGGCATTTCGAGGTAATCCTAGATTCTCGCACGAACGCAAGAGCGAACAGGACGATAACATGTCGACAGCGATTAGACACATCAATTAGCGGCGGGCTCTCATTTATCTCTTGATATTATCGACCAGTCGTCTCACCATCCAAACATTTGCACAGCTTCATTTAGAGTGAATTTTTTGCCGGCGGAAAAAAAAAACATTTAGGTTTAAAAAATAAAACAATATATGTAGTAATAATAGATCTAATAAAACGTAGAAGGACTCTTAAGATTAATGTGTTACTCGAAGCATCTTGAGATATGTCATCGTGGATTCTCTTAGCCTTTCTTCTTTTTTCGAGTTGCTATTGCACTGAATGTGAATTCAAGGGTCGAGCGATCGTCCATTTCAGCGGGAAACAAAAAGAAACGCAAAAAGGACTTTGCACTATTTCATTTCGTCCTTCTTTATGTTTGCTGCAATTGTTGTGCGCTTCCTGCAGGCGAATAAAGATGATAAAGTGCTTACATAAACTTGTCGCTTCCCGCGAACCTGACGATTATTTTTCATTATTTGAAGCCACAAAGGACACATGTGTCCGAATAGAGGACGCGTGAGGAAATCCAATTATCTTTTGTTTTTGTTCGCGGTGACAATGCGTTTTTATTTTTATTAAATCAAACCGCAAACGGATATCAAGAATTTAATTCCGCAGAAAGTTGTAATAAAATTTCCATAACAATTGCGGCGCGCGCTTTTTTCGAAGGCTTACTGTAACTGACACGGCTAAATATGAAGCGGTTGACTTTTCAAACGTGAAGGATGCAGAATACGTTTTTTAATTAATCGCTTTATCAACGTCCACGCAGCACGACTCAACTCCTCCGGTTGACATTCGATATTTTTCTTCGTTTTCCGCCTGCTCTATTCATGCGATTCATGTTTGTGTTTTTGTTTCTGTCGGCGATATCAATATCGATGTACATATATCATTGCAAAACATCTTTTTTTTATTCATCCGCGCGTCCGTGTGTGTTGTTTGCGGTCGAATGCATGATGTGTTTTAATCCGTTTTTCTGACGCGCAACAAACAACGGACAAGTTGATTGGACATGGGCGGAAGGGGTGAAATTTGATTTTTCATTCGAGATGCGGTTAAATAAACTTTTTCGTCGACGCGCGATTTGGCAGCTCAAAAAACGCGATCAAACAACTGAAATTAATTTAGCAAGCAATTTTCCAATTTCGCATCAACTTCATCACGAGCCTTTCATACAAGTGAAAAACATCACAAAATTGACAATTTTACGTCTTGAAATTTTTGTTTTTTGGAAATTTTTAAAACTAGAATACTAAACAAGGCGAGATTAATTTATCACAGGGTTATTTGTAGGGTTAGTACGCCAAGAGAGTAATTAAAATGAAATTTTGCGTTAAATAGCCTTCTCGTGCGTTCCGCCCGCTAGAGACAACCGAGAGCCCGACGCCTCCACCCATACACCAAGCAGAAATAATTTGTCAGATTAATGAAAAATTAAATTCATGACTTTTCGCATGTTTGGATTTTCAACGCACTTGGTTTTTGCATTAATCACATACACATTCACTTCAACAGGATAATCTCTTACACTTCAAACCATTTAATGTCTAAAAATTAAAGAAAAAATTACCGGATGTGTAGAGAAGTGTTTGCAAGACGATCCACGCGAGTCCTCCGTACCACAGCATTGTCGTCCTTAAAGGATATACTTGATCTTTCAAGATTTGATCTTAACACCTGAAACAAATTAAATTATTTAAAAATGTTACCCTGTACTAAAACAGGATATAATTAGGTGATCAGTGTGATAATGTTGGATATTTTGACTGTTTGCGAACAATCAAAGCATCTAAATCATATCAATAACCGTAATATCGCTCAGTTTGTGTGTGCCGCACATTATCTATTCACAAAACGCGTGGGCGGTTAGCCAAATGTTGAATAAACAGGATGAAAGGACAATCCACGCCCCATTTGTGTGCGGGCTTATAATGAACAGGAAAAGTGTGTAAACTACATTAGTTAATCTCTGATTGTGCATTGAAACTCGATAATAAACGCAAAACAAGCAAATATTAACAAAAAGTTATCGTCTAATTAATTGTGGTGATTAAGTAGTAAATTATAAGGCCTTAAAAATTAATTACACTATGCGCAATTTACATTAATTTAAAATTTAATCGAAAAAGTGAGTTTAAGTTGAAGAAAATGATATTTAAAAGGAACGGAATCGATAAAAGTTAATTATTCATGAATATCCACTTAATTTTTGTATTCCCTCGAGTTTGCAAGCTATCAAAAATTGATTTTAATTAATTCGAACGATTTTTATATTTTATTTTTATTGCAACCAATTGACTTTTTAATTAATTAATTAATTAACTCAGGTTTAGATTGGTAATTTACTTTTTCCGCATATTGATGTACATTCCGATATCGTTTAATTTTTTTCTCTCTCATCTTCAGCTATTTTTACTCCTATCGATGCAAAACCGTAAACAAAAACGAGTTGGCGCGCTCGTTTGCGCCTGGAATCGAAAATAGGCGATAGCTACAAGGCGAATATGTCAATATCGATAAAGGAAAAAAGGTTGCATTGTATTTTATGCCGGCTCGCATAAAATGGTGCTGGGATGAGGAGAAAGGCGGCCGCGCTCGTTTGACGTCGACACACAGCGCCGGAAAATTAGCTCGACATCGAGCACGCGAAAAAAGCGCGCCGTAAAGTTGGCGATTTTAATTTCACAAATGGAGCGTCAAAGCGACACGAACATAAATACTAAACTACTCGCCGTGTGCTGTGCAGATACCAAACAGAAAACTACACACAAAAAAAACACACAGCACCAGCAAACGCGGAGTAAAAGTACATTGATGTCGTACACACCAAAAAAAATATGAACGAAAAACATAAATGAAAAGATAAAAATGATGCCGGATTTAAAAATATGAAATGGCCGATATGAGCACATTAAACTATTTCACATTTTTACTAGTCGTTTCTCCACTAATGTCCAGCAGGCATTGTAAATTGCACACTGCAACGATTATTGCCAAGTTTATGATTATTTCTTTACCGGCCAGCGACACAATCACCTGCCGCATAGCACAACAAATTTCTAATTAGTTTAGAAGCTTTTCCGTTGCTATAAATAAAAGTTTACTTGGCAAATGAAATAATTAAATCAATTCGCGTGTTTATTGTTTAGGAAAGTTTAATGCCAAATTTAATGTATAAACTTTGCTGGCGTAATAGTTTTTGCATCAATTAAAACGAAAATATGTTCGGGGCATGCAAATTGTCTAAGAATTAATTTCACGTGCAAGTTTAATAGATAATTCGCGTGATGCATAAATCGTTCGCATGAAATTCAATTGTAAGCGTTAGTTTCTATTTACCTTTTGCTTTAAACGTATGAAAAACGCGATGGATCATTGTTTAACGATTGTGATGCATGTGATGAAACAATTGCATTCGTTGGCAATTCCAAGCTTTGAATGTTTTTTCTGGGAACGATGAACATTTATACATACGAGTGTGTATCGTGAATTGTTTTGCTTTATTTTTTATTTTTATTTTTGTTTTGTAAGTTTTTATATTTGTTGTTCGACGAGGAGAAGAGATTTTTTTATCGATGCGAGTTCATTCCGATTTCACGTGTGATTAAACAATTTCACAGCGAGCGGCGGACGCGCGGCGCGAACGGCGTCGAGCCGGGGGCGGCGAACGGCGGCGGCGGTCGGCGAGCGAACGTTCGACGTGATCGCAACGGCGGTCGGAGCACCATGTGGCTTCGTCGAGCGCCGCCGTACGCGTATATACTTTTCCCACCATTGCGGCCGCTAAGAGTGGCGGCGGTAAGAAGTGGGGGCGGCAATGAAACTAAAACTATACCAAACTAATATTTTCACATTTTAATTTTATCCTTGTGATATTGATAAATTAAAAAAATATATATTTTAATGCTTTAGCAGTAAATTTATATTTTTTTATATTAATTTGACGTCTGTTTCACTATGCAAAGTTAAATTCCAACACTGATTGTCTAGTTATTGAGATGAAAGTTGTATATGTTGGAAATTTACCTTCGTTAACGCTCTGTGTAATTAACAATCAAAGAGATTCATTTAATTAGCTTTGTAATACAGCAACTCGCTGCATGCACTCTCTAAAAGTGCATCAAAGCTTGAAAATAATTTGCGCCTGTATCATGTAATTTTATGAAATATATTTTAGATGTTTTACTTTAGTTTTCTCACTTTTTTTGTATGTTTTTATGGTTTTTATGGTTGTGATGTCAGTCATAATTTTCCAGCGGAATTATTCCGGATGATATGTTTGTTCCCGCGGATGTGTTATGTGTCTTTGAGCTAATAATATCGTCTTAACACGTTTTTCGCGCGCTCGACGGCGCGGCAAAAATGCGCTCCGGAAAAACGCAAGTGTTTATCACACGGGTGCGATGGTGGAGGCGCAATGGTGGAGGCGCCGGGCCCGGCCGGCTGGCATAAAGAATTCATATGGAGTGTGTTTACACATGAGCATTTGTCTTGCAGATTCCGGCGTTCCTTCTACCGTTCTACGCGCGGATATTTTTTGCTCGCCGAGAGCTTTCATTGCTTTATGCTTTACGCCAACTCACCGCCGATGCTTTTCATCTTATTTTATCCTTGGAAGTTTCCGAAAGATAAAATCAGAGAAAATTTAACAAAAATAAATGTTTAAACTGAACATTTTGATAGGTCGACTGAAAGCTTTACTTTGTTAATTTTTGTTTTGGCATAAGCTTTGTGTGTTTGTAAAAAATCTGATTTTTGCGGTGTAAACGCATGTTTGAAGCGGGGCGAGAGGAACGAAAAAAGAAAGTGGGAGCGTTTCTCCAGTCGGTAAATTACTGCGAGGAAATAAAAATATCCGTCCGTGACGTCGGGATTTATGCCCCGCGAAATTGCTCGCCCAAATAAAGTGTTACGCCTTTGTTATACAACGATTCTCGTATACATTTTTGCTTCGCGTCCGAGCAACTTTCTTTTCTCAGCGAGCGCCGGCACACACGTTGTTTATTTTCTTTGCTCAGGCTTGGATCTTGTGGAGGTTCCCAAGAGTGCATTCAGTTTTCTACCAGTAACTTGTTGTAAGAAACTTATAGTTTTAATTTCACGAAAAAAAAAAACTAATCATAATTTCAGAAAAATCTACGAAAAAAATGAAAAATTTATATTTAACTAACAAAGTTCAAATCATTTTAACCAGTATTTTCAGTTAAAATTTACATTTTGTTTATTGATTCCAGGATGGTGGCGTATTTCATGGAACAACTTATCAACTTACCAATTAGGTAAGTGCATCAACAATTTTTTGTTTTCACTAGAAGCTCGTTGTCAATTATTTTGAACCATGTATTTAATGGAGTTTATAAACGAAAATATAGGTAGCTACCGTGCGAATTTCGTTATATTTACCTACATAATATTTTTCTGTGTAGAAAGTAAAGATTTGTACGAAAAGCGTAATAATACGCGATTCTATTGTATGCACCACACATATTTATGCATGAAAATGGCTCGACATAAGTTTGCTTACTTTTCTCGTACTTTTCAATTTCCTTATCCGCACGTCGGAGAGTCGCACATTGAAATTGCATCATTTTACGATCTCGCATAATATCCAAAAGCTGCTCCTCGAATAACAGTTCCATTTTCTTGCTTCCTTATTGCCACACACGCTACTGCTCCTTGCAAAAGCAGCAACAGCAGCGAGAGAAACCCGGGAAATAGTTATGATTACCAATCCGTCTCCAACCAACAACAAGCAACTCAGGCAATCCCATCCAATTCGAGTACGTATTTATTTATTGGCAAATCGCATTGCAGTAATAATTTCCAACAACAACTACTACATCTAGGATTTGTCAGAATGAATCAGATTTCTCTTAAAAAGAAAGAACATTTCATGTTGTACTCGTACAAGCAAAAAACTAAAAAAAAAACTACTAGTTAAATGTAGGCAACTTTATAAACTTCAAACATTCGTATTTGCTAATAAAATTAACCTATTTTGTCCAACTTGTTAGACAATATTATTTTGATGTACTCCGCGGTAATAAAACAACTATCCTGTCATAATAGCAGTCTTTTTATAGTGTAGCGTCAGGTTTACAGCAAGGACGAACCCGGTAAACTATAATACTCGTAATACGTTCTCCATTTCACCGTTTTCCGAAGAAACAAGACATGAAAAAAAAAGCATGTCAATTGCATAGTAATACGAAAGTACTCGCACTAGCACGGCAGTAAAACGCTCCTCTATCCAGGACAAAATAAAACGAATAAAAAAAACCTCCACGACGTCGCGCAGAAGTATTTCAACTATGTTTATGTCTTATCCTGCTTCTTTTGTCCTGCGCTTGTTTCGTATCATTTAAAAGACTGTTATTTATGTTGCGCGTGTGTGGAGGCTCGTCGAGGAGTCTCTGAGTCCTCGAAACAAAAGGGTAATCTTTATACGTATTATTGATGAGCTTTTGAAAATAGGAATTAATTTGTTTATCGCGTCGGCATGTCAAGCAAAGCAGTAATCATTTAATCGATGACCGATTAGTAAGCATTAAATTGTTTCGGCGGTGAATTTTTTATGCTGCCCTGTTAATCATTGGATAATTTAGTTGTTTGTACTTCGTGGATCCTGGCTAACAAGCAGATTATTGTGAATTTAAAAAAATCTCATTTGGCGAATTTTTCTGCTTTATGCTTCTTATTGTGTATTAGAAAATTATAGTTATTCACGTCGTGCTCGTGCTGCTATTCCGCGTGTTATGTAATAATATAAATAAATTATGAATTTACGTGCCGGCCGTAATCAGCGCGGTGTCGCTTTCCGCACCGCGGCTGAGTTTTTTCGACTTCCTGCGCTGATCCTGCGCGCCGCGGCCCAGGACATTAGCGATAATATATTGCGGCTTGATGGCGACGCGGATCGACGGCGATGATGGTGTTTTACTTGCGCGCAATAACAATTCCGACGGTGGGAGAGAAAAAACGTCACAAGAAATAAGTTATGTTTATTTCATTAATCCTCAATCAGGGCGAGAGAAAATAACTAAATCATATAATAAATCAAAATATCGCACAAATGAATGTGGTTAGGTAATTTTTAGAACAGAGTGATGACCTTTGATCATAAATAAAGTTGTTTACTGCTGTTTATTTCTTAAGAAAAAAGTTCCCACTGAATAAATTCTATTTTTATTTGGACGTTAAACACGTTAAACAAATAGATCTGTTGCTTTCGTTTTGTGTGTCACGGCTAGGCATTTAGAGGATCCTCAAATGTCAAATGCTTCAAGCTCGTAAAAGGATTTGACCGTCCCGAACCCGCCGCGACAGTTTCACTTGCGTTGAGGGTGGAAAAGGTCGAGATGTTCGTTTTCACCTGAAAATCTACATTTGCGCGACGTTAACGCTCCGACCGATAGTTGAACCCGTAAATCGTTTCACATAAAACACACGTACACTCACCGGATGAGCTTTTATGCTCGTATTAAATTTTCAAATATTTATTTTACTACTATCACGAAATTATTATCTTTAAATATTGAATATTGTTGGTGAATAAAACGGAAAATAGATATATTTGATTTGATCTCTGGAGGCGGAACAATAAACCAAATAAAATTTCGTCTCAGACAGATTCACTCTTGACTTTTTGCTTGCGTTGAGTCGCTTCAGTCGGACAATGCTTCGTCTCGCAAAGTTGAAAAAATAAGTCTCGAGAGTTTTTCATTTCCCGTTTGCGTTTTTCGGTTTTGACCGCAGAAGGAGAGCGAAACTCTCGCCTTAATGTATTCCTGCGTCCGCGCGGGGCATTTGTTAGTGTTTGCGCGAGTCGCCGAGGTCCCGACGGTGCGCTCGGAATAAGAATCGCGAATCAAGGATAAGAATGAGAAGCACAAGTTTAATGCATTATGCAGACATCTCGAGTTGATCCACCACGCGACGTGGTCAACTCTCAACTTTTAACTCTCTCAAGACGCGCCTAGGCAAAAATAAAGTATGCTTTTGGTAGAAAAAAAACCAACTCGACGTCAAACACACATATAATATATAGTGTAGAGCAGCCAGGCTACAATAAGAAGTAGCTTTTCGATTGGGAATTTAATGTGTTTTTTCAAACAGTTTAATTTATTATTTATGTTGCAATGTGTTTCCATATTTATTAATATTAAATATAATTCTAGTTTTGAAATTTTCATGAAGCTGTCTAGGAAGCAATGAAAATTGAGTTATTTTCAGGGAAAAACTTTTGTCATATGACAAAATGAAATTAAAAAGTTGCTTTAGTGATATAGTAAACTCGTAAAGTGTAAGCGAGTGAGTCAGGTCCTTAATGGCTAGTGGTATATTACGGACGTATATCTATTTGTTCTTAATGGCGAATAAAAATCAGGATAGACCTGTAAAACCTAAAGGCGTGGTGCTGGCAACACCCCAGCACTTAAACTCATATATTTTAATAAATAATGTAAAGCATTACTAACACAAAGCAGTTAAATATTTTTATATCAATTATTTCTATTATTATTTTAGGAATGAGTTTAGTTTTGTTTTTTGGATGTTTAATTCAATAATTTCCTTTTTTTGTGTTTTTTTTTATTGTATGAATTAAACACTTATATGTAATATAACCTGTTAGCTGTATAATAATTGCAGTTATATTTATATTTAAATGTGTAAAATTGTACATTTTCGCACTTTCAGTCGCGCTTTTAGACCTTTTACCCCATTAAATTAAATTATTTTAAATTTACGCCTGATAGAGAATTTTCCAGTCTTCCATAATCTACAATTTTTTGGATGCTATCTCTTTTAGTTTAGAAGATATTATTTATCGAAACACGTCGATAAAAATTATCCAGCACCCCCCCTGGCAATTTTTTCTTAAGAATTAAAATTTCATCTCTCAGATTTCTGTTTTAACTATTCTATCTTATAGAGCATAATCCCTAGATTAAGACGCTGCGATCAGATCTTAAATATCTCTTTTAGTTTACGAGATATTCGCGTTTGAATAAAATGGGCAAAAATTGAAAAATGTCACTTTTTAGTACTTTCAATGGCGTTTTTGACCTTTTACTCTTTGGATATATAATTATTTTATATTTTTATCTGATAGAGAATTTCTCAATCTTTCATAATCAGCAATTCGTTGGTTGCTATCTCTTTTAGTTTAAGAGATATCAATTATCGAAAATCGTCGAAAAAAAGTATCAAGCACCCCCCCTTGGCAATTTTTTCTTAAGATGAAAAATTTTATCTCTCAGATTTTCCTTGTAACTACTCTATCTTATAGAGAATAGTGCGTAGATTAAGACGCTGCGATCAGATCTTAATTATCTCTTTTAGTTTACGAGATATTCGCTATTGAATAAAATGGGCAAAAATTGAAAAATGTCACTTTTTAGTACTTTCAATTGCGTTTTTTGACCTTTTACTCTTTGATATATAATTATTTTATATTTTTATCTGATAGAGAATTTCTCAATCTTTCATAATCAGCAATTCGTTGGTTGCTATCTCTTTTAGTTTAAGAGATATCAATTATCGAAAATCGTTGATAAAAATTATCAAGCACCCCCCCTTGGCAATTTTTTCTTAAGATGTAAAAATTTTATCTCTCAGATTTCCGTTTTAACTATCCTATCTGATAGAAAATAGCCCGTAGATTAAGACGCTGCGATCAGATCTTAAATATCTCTTTTAGTTTACGAGATATTCGCGTTTGAATAAAATGGGCAAAAATTGAAAAATGTCACTTTTTAGTACTTTCAATGGCGTTTTTTGACCTTTTACTCTTTTATATATAATTATTTTATATTTTTATCTGATAGAGAATTTTCCAATCTTTCATAATCAGTGATTCGTTGGTTGCAATCGCTTTTAGTTTAAGAGATATTAATTTTTGAAAATCGTCGAAAAAAAGTATCAAGCACCCCCCCTTGGCAATTTTTTCTTAAGATGAAAAATTGTATCTCTCAGATTTTCCTTTTAACTATTCTATCTTATAGAGAATAGTGCGTAGATTAAGACGCTGCGATCAGATCTTAATTATCTCTTTTAGTTTACGAGATATTCGCGATTGAATAAAATGGGCAAAAATTGAAAAATGTCACTTTTTAGTACTTTCAATGGCGTTTTTTGACCTTTTACTCTTTGATATATAATTATTTTATATTTTTATCTGATAGAGATTTCTCAATCTTTCATAATCAGCAATTCGTTGGTTGCTATCTCTTTTAGTTGAAGAGATATTAATTATCGAAAATCGTCGATAAAAAGTATCAAGCACCCCCTTGGCAATTTTTTCTTAAGATGTAAAAATTTTATCTCTCAGATTTCCGTTTTAACTATCCTATCTTATAGAGAATAGTGCGTAGATTAAGACGCTGCGATCAGATCTTAATTATCTCTTTTAGTTTACGAGATATTCGCATTGAAGTCATAAAATAATAGAAATCGAATTATACGGCTTATTTTTATATATATCGGCAAACGTGGGCACGAGAATAGTTTTGTATACAATGCTATTATCTGCGATACGGTGTAAACAACGTTTTTATCGCATGTGTCCCGCGCGCTGTCTCCTAGTCGCCGCATCAACTTGCTGCATACAGCGAAGTCTAGTTTAGTTTAGATTACAGGTAATGTGCCTATTGCAAATTCGCGCACAAGGTCGCGTGCCGTCTTTGCGCACCTCTTGCTTTCTTATCATATACTGTCCCGTCGTTGTTTACGCAGTTTCGGCATGCACTATCGGTGGATTGCAGCCAGTTTCGTGCCGGTCGCTGGTTAATCGAGTCGTGTTTTGAGAGACTTACGAGACTTACGAGGGTAGTCGTATATCGTTTATTCGGACTTCAATATTCTAAATTTGTGTTATACTCGAAGATCAATCGACTATTTATTTGTACTTTGCAACTATAGTAATTTGTTTAATGTTTGGAAATGCCGGTTTTTGATCGCGTTACAAGTTACGTAATAGGGGATTTGATAACATTCTTCACTCGGCGTTGTGTTTAGTGTCGGTTACTAAATTAATCGGATATATATCGCCCCCATGTTAATTCTCATCATTAAGAAAGATCCATCAGGCTCGTGTAAGTATTTTTTAACTAAGCAGATTGTTTATTTTGTGTTGATTGTTAATTATAACAATTGTATTTCAATTGTATGAAATATTTTTGTTTTAATTTATGTTTTCGTTTAGTTACAGCACTCGTTGTGACTGGCAGTCCGATAAGCTGTACACTGGTAAGTTTATAATTCAATTATATTTTTCGGTCAAATATTCATTTGCTGTTTATAAACAAGTTTTCTATTTATCACATACTCCCTACCTGCTGAGCCAATGAGAAGGGGGGTCAACTGGCGTAAATTCCCCGGGGCCCGGCTGATTGCTCTTACATCGCAAACACAAAAATATTAGCAAAAAGTTCACGATTGCCGGGGTCTGCGGATTTTTCCCGGGGCCCGCGGATTTTTCCCGGGGCCCGCGCTGGCTCTCGACGACTCTGTGCACTAGTATTCAAAATTTACGTTTCGCGTTTTTACAAGCAAAGTTTTACAATTGTCATATAAAATAATCATGTATTTAGTCACTTTTATAATGTTCGATTACTTTTTATGAGCTTTTCGGTTGAGATAATTTTTAACTGTTGATTATAAAATAATCCCTAATGCAAAATGACCTCGTGTCATTGGAAATTTTCAATTTCGGTTCGATAATTTGCGCAAATTTGGGCATAATGCGCGCGCGCTTCAACGATTTCGTGCATTGTGTGAATTTTCCATTAATTCGATAATTCAATCCGGCGACCCGCGAATATGAATAAATGTATACGCGCAGGTAGCGCCGTATTTGACACTCCGCGCAAATTGTGCGCACTGTCAAAACGTAGCGTTCGCAGCAAACGTCGAAACGACAGCAAGCGCCTACATTTCCATTGTAATTGCAAATTTCATAATTTTCCACGTTAATGCTGCACTAATGTATTGATAATATCAGGAACGCACTTGAATTATAAATTTTACATTTACCAAATAGGTATTTACACTTAAAATTAAAAATTTTATTGTTTAAATAATTTTTTAATTTAAAGTTTTAAATTGTTTACATTTGAATATTGCGGGCCTTTGCTGCAGCATTCGATTTTCAATTTCGTTTTCGATCCGTTCGGGGAATATGACTATTCGACTATTGTGTATTTACCTAATTCGGCTAATATCGAAAATGAAATTACACGCGCGACCTCGAACCGTCGGGATGGAGGCTTGGGAGTAAAATAAGCGTGGTATGAGGTGGTAGCAGCATGTTGCCTTTGGTGCACTTTGCATGCCGTTAGACAATTTCGCATTTGTGTTCGCGCACCACTTTTCTAAGCGATTACCGCCATTACCACTCAAAGACCAACGAAAACAACAAAAGCAAACTACACATATCAACATAACCAACTAATTTCACTGCTTATGAAAATTATAATCAGTTTTGCCAAGCTTAGATCTTCTATTTTTTTAATTTAAACCTGATTATTTTATGTTCCTGAAACATTTTTATGTGTACTTCTGCGTTGTTGCGCTGTTATTTAGTGTAAATAAATAATTATGCAGCTTTGGGGGCGGTGTACGCGTTTTGCGTTAAGTTGTCTAGCCGCCGCCGGTGGCTGCCTCTCTCTGCGGGCGTTGCAGACGTTCATAAATAGCGAGGAAGCACGCTTACTGTGTTTTAGCCCGGCATCTCCACCGCGGGCCGCGCATGTTGAGTCTATAATTCTGCTCCGCAGCAGCGGGAACAAGCGTTGCAGTTTGTTTATTGTTTTGCAGCACTATGTAGCGATGGGCGCCGACCGACGGTCCGCAGGCTGGAGCGGAAAGCACTCACGCTACCGGGAGAGGTGAAATATCGTTCGGGGTGGACACGCAGGCAGAGAATGTTTTATTCTTAAAACCAATATTAGTAGATTAAAAACGTATTTTTTGCATTTCCATTGAATGGAATTAAATGAATTATTTTATTTCGATATGAATTTAAGTGGATTTTTAGAGTGTGAGGGGTTGAAGTGTAAGGGTGAAATTTCTTGGGTATCATTGGGTGATAGCGACCACCTGCCGCCGACGGGTCTGAGGGTGCTATGCATAAGGTGCACGACTCAAACGTGTTTCAGAGCCTGTCGGATCAAACTCGCGCTCCGCTTCCTTTTGATATTGACCAGGGTGCGCGCTAAGATATGCTGAAAACGGCAGGACGAGGGATATGAAATGCTCATCGCATATGTGAAGCTTATTTCGAAAACGACGATTTCCTTTTATTTCTTTATTTGACACTGGAGGATCACACTCGAATGTTACGATTCTCAAAAATGAGAAATTTTACAAAAAAGGGGATGAAAATTATATTTTCACGAAAAAGTAACAAAAATAGAGAGAAAATATTTTGATATTTAAAATATTTTTAACTATTTCACGATGGTGATTTTTAAGGGATGTAAATGGAAAATCGTTTACTTGACTTCTGGTCGATTTCTTGCGGCGTAAGCCGTAGAAGTGGAAGGACGGAACCATGTTTAATTCCCCTGGAGAGCTCGCGTACTTCTTGCACAATGGGGTGCTGGAGTGTGCCGCCCCTTTCAGAGAGTTTTCACGTTTTTGCAATCGAACATAAACATCCGAGTCACACTAAATTGCACCGAAAACGAAAAAAAACGCAGTAAATAACAAGAATAAATAATTTTTCAACGATGTATATTTTAAGGGTTGACTTTTTTGCGTGTAAATTTCTGGGAAAAAAATGATAACGCGATAAAATGATACAAGTCCGTGCACGTTTGAGCTCATTACGCTAATGACGCGTCCTTTCGTCTTGCTTTGTCGCCGCCCTCGCCCCCTAAATGATCTTTGACGATTTCACCCCTTGGCACTCCTTGGAAACATTCGCGCTGGATCTGATACACTTTTCCGTGTTCGCGTCCGAGTTAACTTGATGGCTGTTGACCGCTCAGAGGAAAGATTATTCCGGCAGATACCTGCGACTGGGCCTGCCCTATCGCCTTCCATCTTCTTTTCATCGCAAAGGGTGAAATATACAGGATGTTGTCAATAAAATGTTTTGACTTGAACTCAAGCCAAACTTTGCTTTAATATAGCAAAAACTTGTATCGTCCTTGAGCCTTGAAAATATCTTGCCTGTGTTCATTCAGTTGACACTACATTTACGTTTTATTCAATTTTAAAGGGTGGTTTTCTTTTTCTTTTAATAATCAAAAAAAATCTAAACGTTTCACTGATTAGACGATGTTTGTTAAATTTTATTATCATGACAATTTTCCAAATTAGTACGCCACTCAAGATTTTTACATGTTCTGGGTCTCGATGGTTATCCTTCAATTTATCCTTATCGCTAAATTAGTTTACGCTGCCTTATTTATCAGCTTATTAGGCCTGGAGAAGCTGAAAAATTGTTGGCTTTTAAAAAGTTAAATCCCGCCGACCCGGCGACCAAACACTCAAACGCTCAAAGTCATTTAACTAAAAAGGACCTTAAAGGGCGCTGAGAGGACGAAATTTGTCCGTTTCGCCGGCGGAAATCTTAAAAAGTTGCCGCGGGCAATTTGCCCGACGTAATATTTTTATTTGCGTCGTTTACTTTTTAATATTCGCCCTGCTGCGCGCCGAATTTTCTTTCGTCCTCGATTGCAACCTGCAGCCGAAACGAAGCGTGACGAATCTTTATTCAAATATTAAATGTCAACTGCTGTCGCCTTCTGGCTATTTTTGTTTCATTTTCCTATAACTATTCACTCATGCATTCATTCATTCTTGAAGGACGCCGAAGAAATTTATTTTATGATTTTTAATCGAATATTAAAATTTTATTACGGTATTTGTTTGTTTTTGCTTGTTTTCACTGCGAAAATATCTTAAGGGCGCAGGTTTAATGTCCGAACAAGGAAAAACTAATAGAACCTCAAAATTGAAAACGCCTAATGAGATTTTGAACGTTTTTCTATTGCATATTGCACGCCGCAGAAAATTTCGCGCGCCCAGCGTGGCAACCATAAATTATTTTCTCGTTTCATGCAGGATTCCTGCATGTGACTCTTGTGATTTATTTTCTACTCAACGCACAGTAAACCGTAACTGCGCATGCGCGATAGCACATACTAACATAATCCCCACCTATTTAATTAAAACAATTTATTCGATGATTTGCTTTTGTCTCGTAAAAATTTATTTTTGTGCTGAAAATGATATAAAAAGTAATTTGTAATCGGTTCACGAGCGAGGGTAATGTTTTTATTTCACGAATCGTTTGAACTCCATCCGACCGAAGCGTCTCAACGACGCAAGGACTTCAAAACGGAGCGAAAGAAAATTAGTATTTTAAAAATCACACAACAACCCCGGCTCACAAAGCGCGCCGCCGAAACAAAGAGACCTGCAGTCACACAGTCCTAGAACCGAAATGCCGGCAGGAACAAAGCGCGGGAGCAGAAACACGCGCAGGAATTAAAAGGACACTCGGATTTCCACATAAAATGCAAATTTCATCGCGCACTTAGAGCGCGACTCTTTCGTCAGCCGTAAATCAGCGCCGCGTAAAATATAAAAATTTATATTTTAACCCTAAGATCACCGTTTGCGGAATTAATGCGCGCGAGGGACGTCAACCGACGCAGCGCTTGATCTGATCAAGGAGCAGAACTATTAATGTCCGTGACGGCACGTGAACATGCACACTGCAGAGATAAACGTTTAAAGTTTAATTATAAATTCCATACATAGGACAAGGAGTCGTAGGACGAGACGAAAGAGCGCGAGAGCAACGGAACGGGCGAGCGGGGGGCAACGGGTGATAAATTCGCAGACGCCGTAACGAATTGACGTCGAAGAGGCGAAATTTATGCACGCAATAAAAGCGTATTTATTCGCGCGTCGAGACGACTCCTGCCGGAATCGTCCTGAAATCACTATCAAGAATATCGGAATCACGTTTGGACATTTATTTTCATCAAACGTTTCTTTTCTTGTTTTTTTTTTGAGCTGTAGACCATAATTTTTAGGAAAAAAATTTTTTGTTTTTAGAAATATAGAGACATTTTTTGATGCGGAAAATACTTGGCGAAAAAAAAAGCAATCCTTTAGGAATATATTGACACGTTTTTTGTATGATACTTCAAAAAGGACGTGACCTTTTAGCTTATTATTTACAAAAATACTTCACCAATAAAAACACAAAGTAAATAAATGGATAAATG